CCCCCCCATAACACTGTTGATTATTCCGTTTTATATGAATTCCATGTTGTACGAGTCACTTAGATTTTACAAATACATGAGCCGTTCACAACCCGGCACGCGTATTTGTAAAATCTAAGTGACTCGTACAACATGGAATTCATATAAAACGGAATAATCAACAGTGTTATAGGGGGGGTCGACTGTATAGTATCTTTGCAATCAACTGATTTCATGTAAAATAGCAAAATTCATTTCGTCAAAAACAGTCTGTATATAGTCGGACGTTCAATAAGAGAGACACATAAACGGCAGCCATTTCTTATTGTTTTACGTCATTCAGAAATGAAACAGTAAAATCAGGTGGTGCCAGAAAGATAATTAAGGACGTTGACATTATAAATTATCTTTCTTAGACGATAAATTACTTAACATTTGACGAGTGAAAAGCGATTAACGATTGAAAATAATAATAATAAATACAATGCAGCTGCCACTGGTTGTTTTTTTTTTTACATTTTATTCTTTTTAAAAGCGTATAATTTATATGATAATTATCATTGTTATTTCGCAATCAAGCGGAAATAATAAGCAACTGTACATATAAAATAAAACTTCTGTATTTTATTATATTTATATCAGTTTTATGATAATTGTATGAAAGTTATATTCAAGTTTCAATACAAGTATTTTTTTAAATTATAAAAACTTTATTTTCCTGTCTGCTTGATATCATTGAAATTGCATGGTGTTATGGCTTGAAACATTTTATTTATTTAATTTTTTTTATGATGATCATTTTTTTGCATTATACACGCACTTCTTTCAATTATGGAGTTAGTCGCAGATGTCTTTGTAAACCTATCATAACATGTTAATATTTATTTATCTTTATACATAGTTTATAGGAAGAAATATCTAATTTTTTATTTTCTCAATATAGTTATATATTGTAAAAAGTAAAAATACTAAAAATATATAAATAACAATGTATAGAATGACAGTTATATACTGTCGCAGGCACTTTATTATACTAGAATTTAAATTACTATTATAATTATTTAACTTGTACAAATGAATTTTTTAATACAAATTTTTATACTAGAATATCAGATTATTTTCAAGGTCTATGTAACTATCCATTAATTAATCTACGTGTACAATTTTTGAGACACTTTTTATCCCCTCCCTCCTGTTGTTTACAATGAGGTACTTGAAAACTCCCCCCCAAGTAGACAACGCATGCTTTTATGTGACAAACAGCTAAGTAATAAAATCAATTGTATCCTTCGTTTTATATGAAACGAACTATACCATTAGTTTGCTTACTTAATTGCATGCCTCGGCCCTTTCCCTATTGTGTGTAATGACGTAATTTTGGAAACTTCTCTTATTTAGCATGGGGAAACGCGAGAGTATAAAGTATACCCTTAAAAAGTATACGTGCATTGTAGTATTATTATGTCTTCTATTAGAGATCACACACGTTGAATACGTAT